GTGTCAATTTTTTTCTACACTTTTCGGTGTATTTTGTGCAAGTATATGCAATAAAATCGTCTGCCTAAGAAAAATTGAATTTTTTTGGTGAGTTTTTTATGCTTTTGGATGCGTTTTTGGTGGTAAAAAAGGTCTTCCTCTACTCGGATCAGGGAGTCAATTTTTTTCTACACTTTTCGGTGTATTTTGTGCAAGTATATGCAATAAAATCGTCTGCCTAAGAAAAATTGAATTTTTTTGGTAAGTTTTTTATGCTTTTGGATGCGTTTTTGGTCATAAAAAGGGTCTTCCTCTACTCGGATCAGGGTGTCAATTTTTATCTACACTTTTCGGTGTATTTTGTGCAAGTATATGCAATAAAATCGTCTGCCTAAGAAAAATTGAATTTTTTTGGTGAGTTTTTTATGCTTTTGGATGCGTTTTTGGTGGTAAAAAAGGTCTTCCTCTACTCGGATCAGGGAGTCAATTTTTTTCTACACTTTTCGGTGTATTTTGTGCAAGTATATGCAATAAAATCGTCTGCCTAAGAAAAATTGAATTTTTTTGGTGAGTTTTTTATGCTTTTGGATGCGTTTTTGGTGATAAAAAAGGTCTTCCTCTACTCGGATCAGGGAGTCAATTTTTTTCTACACTTTTCGGTGTATTTTGTGCAAGAATATGCAATAAAATCGTCTGCCTAAGAAAAATTGAATTTTTTTGGTAAGTTTTTTATGCTTTTGGATGCGTTTTTGGTCATAAAAAGGGTCTTCCTCTACTCGGATCAGGGTGTCAATTTTTATCTACACTTTTCGGTGTATTTTGTGCAAGTATATGCAATAAAATCTTCTGCCTAAGAAAAATTGAATTTTTTTGGTAAGTTTTTTATGCTTTTGGATGCGTATTTGGTGGTAAAAAAGGTCTTCCTCTACTCGGATCAGGGAGTCAATTTTTTTCTACACTTTTCGGTGTATTTTGTGCAAGAATATGCAATAAAATCGTCTGCCTAAGAAAAATTGAATTTTTTTGGTAAGTTTTTTATGCTTTTGGATGCGTTTTTGGTCATAAAAAGGGTCTTCCTCTACTCGGATCAGGGTGTCAATTTTTTTCTACACTTTTCGGTGTATTTTGTGCAAGAATATGCAATAAAATCGTCTGCCTAAGAAAAATTGAATTTTTTTGGTGAGTTTTTTATGCTTTTGGATGCGTTTTTGGTGGTAAAAAAGGTCTTCCTCTACTCGGATCAGGGTGTCAATTTTTTTCTACACTTTTCGGTGTATTTTGTGCAAGAATATGCAATAAAATCGTCTGCCTAAGAAAAATTGAATTTTTTTGGTAAGTTTTTTATGCTTTTGGATGCGTTTTTGGCCATAAAAAAGGTCTTCCTCTACTCGGATCAGGGTGTCAATTTTTTTCTACACTTTTCGGTGTATTTTGTGCAAGAATATGCAATAAAATCGTCTGCCTAAGAAAAATTGAATTTTTTTGGTAAGTTTTTTATGCTTTTGGATGCGTTTTTGGTCATAAAAAAGGTCTTCCTCTACTCGGATCAGGGTGTCAATTTTTTTCTACACTTTTCGGTGTATTTTGTGCAAGAATATGCAATAAAATCGTCTGCCTAAGAAAAATTGAATTTTTTTGGTAAGTTTTTTATGCTTTTGGATGCGTTTTTGGTGGTAAAAAAGGTCTTCCTCTACTCGGATCAGGGTGTCAATTTTTTTCTACACTTTTCGGTGTATTTTGTGCAAGAATATGCAATAAAATCGTCTGCCTAAGAAAAATTGAATTTTTTTGGTAAGTTTTTTATGCTTTTGGTTGCGTTTTTGGTCATAAAAAGGTCTTCCTCTACTCGGATCAGGGTGTCAATTTTTTTCTACACTTTTCGGTGTATTTTGTGCAAGAATATGCAATAAAATCGTCTGCCTAAGAAAAATTGAATTTTTTTGGTAAGTTTTTTATGCTTTTGGATGCGTTTTTGGTCGTAAAAAAGGTCTTCCTCTACTCGGATCAGGGTGTCAATTTTTTTCTACACTTTTCGGTGTATTTTGTGCAAGAATATGCAATAAAATCGTCTGCCTAAGAAAAATTGAATTTTTTTGGTAAGTTTTTTATGCTTTTGGATGCGTTTTTGGTGGTAAAAAAGGTCTTCCTCTACTCGGATCAGGGTGTCAATTTTTTTCTACACTTTTCGGTGTATTTTTTGCAAGAATATGCATCAAAATCGTCTGCCTAAGAAAAATTGAATTTTTTTGGTAAGTTTTTTATGGTTTTGGATGCGTTTTTGGTCATAAAAAGGGTCTTCCTCTACTCGGATCAGGGTGTCAATTTTTTCTACACTTTTCGGTGTATTTTGTGCAAGAATATGCAATAAAATCGTCTGCCTAAGAAAAATTGAATTTTTTTGGAAAGTTTTTTATGCTTTTGGATGCGTTTTTGGTGGTAAAAAAGGTCTTCCTCTACTCGGATCAGGGTGTCAATTTTTTTCTACACTTTTCGGTGTATTTTGTGCAAGAATATGCAATAAAATCGTCTGCCTAAGAAAAATTGAATTTTTTTGGTAAGTTTTTTATGCTTTTGGATGCGTTTTTGGTCATAAAAAGGGTCTTCCTCTACTCGGATCAGGGTGTCAATTTTTTTCTACACTTTTCGGTGTATTTTGTGCAAGAATATGCAATAAAATCGTCTGCCTAAGAAAAATTGAATTTTTTTGGTAAGTTTTTTATGCTTTTGGATGCGTTTTTGGTCATAAAAAAGGTCTTCCTCTACTCGGATCAGGGTGTCAATTTTTTTCTACACTTTTCGGTGTATTTTGTGCAAGAATATGCAATAAAATCGTCTGCCTAAGAAAAATTGAATTTTTTTGGAAAGTTTTTTATGCTTTTGGATGCGTTTTTGGCCATAAAAAAGGTCTTCCTCTACTCGGATCAGGGTGTCAATTTTTTTCTACACTTTTCGGTGTATTTTGTGCAAGAATATGCAATAAAATCGTCTGCCTAAGAAAAATTGAATTTTTTTGGTAAGTTTTTTATGCTTTTGGATGCGTTTTTGGTCATAAAAAGGGTCTTCCTCTACTCGGATCAGGGTGTCAATTTTTATCTACACTTTTCGGTGTATTTTGTGCAAGTATATGCAATAAAATCGTCTGCCTAAGAAAAATTGAATTTTTTTGGTAAGTTTTTTATGCTTTTGGATGCGTTTTTGGTCATAAAAAGGGTCTTCCTCTACTCGGATCAGGGTGTCAATTTTTTTCTACACTTTTCGGTGTATTTTGTGCAAGTATATGCAATAAAATCGTCTGCCTAAGAAAAATTGAATTTTTTTGGTAAGTTTTTTATGCTTTTGGATGCGTTTTTGGTGGTAAAAAAGGTCTTCCTCTACTCGGATCAGGGTGTCAATTTTTTTCTACACTTTTCGGTGTATTTTGTGCAAGAATATGCAATAAAATCGTCTGCCTAAGAAAAATTGAATTTTTTTGGTAAGTTTTTTATGATTTTGGATGCGTTTTTGGTCATAAAAAGGTCTTCCTCTACTCGGATCAGGGTGTCAATTTTTTTCTACACTTTTTGGTGTATTTTGTGCAAGTATATGCAATAAAATCGTCTGCCTAAGAAAAATTGAATTTTTTTGGTGAGTTTTTTATGCTTTTGGATGCGTAAAAGGTCTTCCTCTACTCGGATCAGGGTGTCAATTTTTTTCTACACTTTTCGGTGTATTTTGTGCAAGTATATGCAAAAAAATCGTCTGCCTAAGAAAAATTGAATTTTTTTGGTGAGTTTTTTATGCTTTTGGATGCGTAAAAGGTCTTCCTCTACTCGGATCAGGGTGTCAATTTTTTTCTACACTTTTCGGTGTATTTTGTGCAAGAATATGCAATAAAATCGTCTGCCTAAGAAAAATTGAATTTTTTTGGTAAGTTTTTTATGCTTTTGGATGCGTTTTTGGTCATAAAAAGGGTCTTCCTCTACTCGGATCAGGGTGTCAATTTTTTTCTACACTTTTCGGTGTATTTTGTGCAAGTATATGCAATAAAATCGTCTGCCTAAGAAAAATTGAATTTTTTTGGTAAGTTTTTTATGCTTTTGGATGCGTTTTTGGTCATAAAAAGGGTCTTCCTCTACTCGGATCAGGGTGTCAATTTTTTTCTACACTTTTCGGTGTATTTTGTGCAAGTATATGCAATAAAATCGTCTGCCTAAGAAAAATTGAATTTTTTTGGTAAGTTTTTTATGCTTTTGGATGCGTTTTTGGTCATAAAAAGGGTCTTTCTCTACTCGGATCAGGGAGTCAATTTTTTTCTACACTTTTCGGTGTATTTTGTGCAAGAATATGCAATAAAATCGTCTGCCTAAGAAAAATTGAATTTTTTTGGTAAGTTTTTTATGCTTTTGGATGCGTTTTTGGTCATAAAAAAGGTCTTCCTCTACTCGGATCTGGGTGTCAATTTTTTTCTACACTTTTCGGTGTATTTTGTGCAAGTATATGCAATAAAATCGTCTGCCTAAGAAAAATTGAATTTTTTTGGTAAGTTTTTTATGCTTTTGGATGCGTTTTTGGACATAAAAAGGGTCTTCCTCTACTCGGATCAGGGTGTCAATTTTTTTCTACACTTTTCGGTGTATTTTGTGCAAGTATATGCAATAAAATCTTCTGCCTAAGAAAAATTGAATTTTTTTGGTAAGTTTTTTATGCTTTTGGATGCGTTTTTGGTCATAAAAAGGGTCTTCCTCTACTCGGATCAGGGTGTCAATTTTTTTCTACACTTTTCGGTGTATTTTGTGCAAGAATATGCAATAAAATCGTCTGCCTAAGAAAAATTGAATTTTTTTGGTGAGTTTTTTATGCTTTTGGATGCGTTTTTGGTGATAAAAAAGGTCTTCCTCTACTCGGATCTGGGTGTCAATTTTTTTCTACACTTTTCGGTGTATTTTGTGCAAGAATATGCAATAAAATCGTCTGCCTAAGAAAAATTGATTTTTTTGGTAAGTTTTTTATGATTTTGGATGCGTTTTTGGTCATAAAAAGGGTCTTCCTCTACTCGGATCTGGGTGTCAATTTTTTTCTACACTTTTCGGTGTATTTTGTGCAAGAATATGCAATAAAATCGTCTGCCTAAGAAAAATTGAATTTTTTTGGTAAGTTTTTTATGATTTTGGATGCGTTTTTGGTCATAAAAAAGGTCTTCCTCTACTCGGATCTGGGTGTCAATTTTTTTCTACACTTTTCGGTGTATTTTGTGCAAGAATATGCATTATAATTGTCTGCCTAAGAAAAATTGAATTTTTTTAATAAGTTTTTTATGCTTTTCGATGCGTTTTTGGACATGAAAAGAGTCTTCCTCTACTCGGATCAGGGTGTCAATTTTTATCTACACTTTTCGGTGTATTTTGTGCAAGTATATGCAATAAAATCGTCTGCCTAAGAAAAACTAAATTTTTTTGGTAAGTTTTTTCTGATTTTGGATGCGTTTTTGGACATAAAAAGGGTCTTCCTCTACTCGGATCAGGGTGTCAATTTTTGTCTACACTTTTCGGTGTATTTTGTGCAAGTATATGCAATAAAATCTTCTGCCTAAGAAAAATTGAATTTTTTTGGTAAGCTTTTTATGATTTTGGATGCGTTTTTGGTCATAAAAAGGTTCTTCCTCTACTCGGATCTGGGTGTCAATTTTTTTCTACACTTTTTGGTGTATTTTGTGCAATAATATGCAATAAAATCTTCTGCCTAAGAAAAATTGAATTTTTTTGGTAAGCTTTTTATGATTTTGGATGCGTTTTTGGTCATAAAAAGATTCTTCCTCTACTCGGATCTGGGTGTTAATTTTTTTCTACACTTTTCGGTGTATTTTGTGCAAGAATATGCATTAAAATCGTCTGCCTAAGAAAAATTGAATTTCTTTGGTGAGTTTTTTATGCTTTTGGATGCGTTTTTGGTGGTAAAAAAGGTCTTCCTCTACTCGGATCAGGGTGTCAATTTTTGTCTACACTTTTTGGTGTATTTTGTGCAAGAATATGCAATAAAATCGTCTGCCTAAGAAAAATTGAATTTTTTTGGTGAGTTTTTTATGCTTTTGGATGCGTTTTTGGTCATAAAAAGGGTCTTCCTCTACTCGGATCAGGGTGTCAATTTTTTCTACACTTTTCGGTGTATTTTGTGCAAGAATATGCATTATAATCGTCTGCCTAAGAAAAATTGAATTTTTTTGGTAAGTTTTTTATGCTTTTGGATGCGTTTTTGGTCATAAAAAGGGTCTTCCTCTACTCGGATCAGGGTGTCAATTTTTATCTACACTTTTCGGTGTATTTTGTGCAAGTATATGCAATAAAATCATCTGCCTAAGAAAAATTGAATTTTTTTGGTAAGCTTTTTATGATTTTGGATGCGTTTTTGGTCATAAAAAGGATCTTCCTCTACTCGGATCTGGGTGTCAATTTTTTTCTACACTTTTCGGTGTATTTTGTGCAAGAATATGCATTAAAATCGTCTGCCTAAGAAAAACTAAATTTTTTTGGTAAGTTTTTTCTGATTTTGGATGCGTTTTTGGACATAAAAAGGGTCTTCCTCTACTCGGATCAGGGTGTCAATTTTTGTCTACACTTTTCGGTGTATTTTGTGCAAGTATATGCAATAAAATCTTCTGCCTAAGAAAAATTGAATTTTTTTGGTAAGCTTTTTATGATTTTGGATGCGTTTTTGGTCATAAAAAGATTCTTCCTCTACTCGGATCTGGGTGTTAATTTTTTTCTACACTTTTCGGTGTATTTTGTGCAAGAATATGCATTAAAATCGTCTGCCTAAGAAAAATTGAATTTCTTTGGTGAGTTTTTTATGCTTTTGGATGCGTTTTTGGTGGTAAAAAAGGTCTTCCTCTACTCGGATCAGGGTGTCAATTTTTGTCTACACTTTTTGGTGTATTTTGTGCAAGAATATGCAATAAAATCGTCTGCCTAAGAAAAATTGAATTTTTTTGGTGAGTTTTTTATGCTTTTGGATGCGTTTTTGGTCATAAAAAGGGTCTTCCTCTACTCGGATCAGGGTGTCAATTTTTTCTACACTTTTCGGTGTATTTTGTGCAAGAATATGCAATAAAATCATCTGCCTAAGAAAAATTGAATTTTTTTGGTGAGTTTATTATGCTTTTGGATGCGTTTTTGGTGATAAAAAAGGTCTTCCTCTACTCGGATCTCGCTGTCAATTTTTTTCTACACTTTTCGGTGTATTTTGTGCAAGAATATGCATTAAAATCGTCTGCCTAAGAAAAACTAAATTTTTTTGGTAAGTTTTTTCTGATTTTGGATGCGTTTTTGGACATAAGAAGGGTCTTCCTCTACTCGGATCAGGGTGTCAATTTTTATCTACACTTTTCAGTGTATTTTGTGCAAGTATATGCAATAAAATCGTCTGCCTAAGAAAAATTGAATTTTTTTGATGAGTTTTTTATGCTTTTGGATGAGTTTATGGTCATAAAAAGGTTTTTCCTCTACTCGGATCTAGGTGTCAAGTTTTTTTTACACTTTTCGGAGTATTTTGTGCAAGAATATGCAATAAAATCGTCTGCCTAAGAAAAATTGAATTTTTTTGGTAAGTTTTTTATGCTTTTGGTCATAAAAAGGGTCTTCCTCTACTCGGATCTGGGAGTCAATTTTTTTCTACACTTTTCGGTGTATTTTGTGCAAGAATATGCATTAAAATCGTCTGCCTAAGAAAAATTGAATTTTTTTGGTAAGTTTTTTATGATTTTGGATGCGTTTTTGGTGGTAAAAAAGGTCTTCCTCTACTCGGATCAGGGTGTCAATTTTTGTCTACACTTTTTGGTGTATTTTGTGCAAGAATATGCAATAAAATCGTCTGCCTAAGAAAAATTGAATTTTTTTGGTGAGTTTTTTATGCTTTTGGATGCGTTTTTGGTCATAAAAAGGGTCTTCCTCTACTCGGATCAGGGTGTCAATTTTTTCTACACTTTTCGGTGTATTTTGTGCAAGAATATGCAATAAAATCATCTGCCTAAGAAAAATTGAATTTTTTTGGTGAGTTTATTATGCTTTTGGATGCGTTTTTGGTGATAAAAAAGGTCTTCCTCTACTCGGATCTCGCTGTCAATTTTTTTCTACACTTTTCGGTGTATTTTGTGCAAGAATATGCATTAAAATCGTCTGCCTAAGAAAAACTAAATTTTTTTGGTAAGTTTTTTCTGATTTTGTATGCGTTTTTGGACATAAAAAGGGTCTTCCTCTACTCGGATCAGGGTGTCAATTTTTGTCTACACTTTTTGGTGTATTTTGTGCAAGAATATGCAATAAAATCGTCTGCCTAAGAAAAATTGAATTTTTTTGGTAAGTTTTTTATGCTTTTGGATGCGTTTTTGGTCATAAAAAGGGTCTTCCTCTACTCGGATCTGGGAGTCAATTTTTTTCTACACTTTTCGGTGTATTTTGTGCAAGAATATGCATTAAAATTGTCTGCCTAAGAAAAATTGAATTTTTTTGGTAAGTTTTTTATGATTTTGGATGCGTTTTTAGTCATAAAAAAGTTCTTCCTCTACTCGGATCTGGGTGTCAATTTTTTTCTACACTTTTCGGTGTATTTTGTGCAAGTATATGCAATAAAATCTTCTGCCTAAGAAAAATTGAATTTTTTTGGTAAGTTGTTTATGCTTTTGGATGCGTTTTTGGTCATAAAAAGGGTCTTCCTCTACTCGGATCAGGGTGTCAATTTTTTTCAACACTTTTTGGTGTATTTTGTGCAAGAATATGCAATAAAATCATCTGCCTAAGAAAAATTGAATTTTTTTGGTGAGTTTTTTATGCTTTTGGATGCGTTTTTGGTGATAAAAAAGGTCTTCCTCTACTCGGATCTGGGTGTCAATTTTTTTCTACACTTTTCGGTGTATTTTGTGCAAGAATATGCATTAAAATCGTCTGCCTAAGAAAAACTAAATTTTTTTGGTAAGTTTTTTCTGATTTTGGATGCGTTTTTGGACATAAAAAGGGTCTTCCTCTACTCGGATTAGGGTGTCAATTTTTGTCTACACTTTTCGGTGTATTTTGTGCAAGTATATGCAATAAAATCTTCTGCCTAAGAAAAATTGAATTTTTTTGGTAAGTTGTTTATGCTTTTGGATGCGTTTTTGGTCATAAAAAGGGTCTTCCTCTACTCGGATCAGGGTGTCAATTTTTTTCTACACTTTTTGGTGTATTTTGTGCAAGAATATGCATTAAAATCGTCTGTCTAAGAAAAATTGAATTTTTTTGGTAAGTTTTTTATTCTTTTGGTCATAAAAAGGGTCTTCCTCTACTCGGATCTGGGAGTCAATTTTTTTCTACACTTTTCGGTGTATTTTGTGCAAGAATATGCATTAAAATTGTCTGCCTAAGAAAAATTGAATTTTTTTGGTAAGTTTTTTATGATTTTGGATGCGTTTTTTGTCATAAAAAAGTTCTTCCTCTACTCGGATCTGGGTGTCAATTTTTTTCTACACTTTTCGGTGTATTTTGTGCAAGTATATGCAATAAAATCTTCTGCCTAAGAAAAATTGAATTTTTTTGGTAAGCTTTTTATGATTTTGGATGCGTTTTTGGTCATAAAAAGATTCTTCCTCTACTCGGATCTGGGTGTTAATTTTTTTCTACACTTTTCGGTGTATTTTGTGCAAGAATATGCATTAAAATCGTCTGCCTAAGAAAAATTGAATTTCTTTGGTGAGTTTTTTATGCTTTTGGATGCGTTTTTGGTGGTAAAAAAGGTCTTCCTCTACTCGGATCAGGGTGTCAATTTTTGTCTACACTTTTTGGTGTATTTTGTGCAAGAATATGCAATAAAATCGTCTGCCTAAGAAAAATTGAATTTTTTTGGTGAG